GGGGTGCAAGGTCCTTGCAGGGGTGTCAGGGGAATTTAGGATTCATAACGGGGTGCAAAGTCCTTGCAGGGCAATTCAGGGCCTCTAAAGGGGAGCAACGTCCTTGCAGGGGAATTTAGGATTCAGAACAGGGTGCAAGGTCCTTGCAGGGGTGCCAGGGGAATTTAGGATCCCTAAAGGAGTGCAAGGTCCTTGCAGGTGATTTCAGGGTCATTAAATAGGTGCAAGGTCCTTGCAGGGCTGTCAGGGGAATTTAGGATTCATAACTGGGTGCAAGGTCCTAGCGGGGGAATTCAGGGCCTCTCAAAGGGAGCAAGGTCCTGGCAGGGCTGTCAGGGGAATTCAGGGTCCCTAAAGCGGTGCCAGGTCCTGGCAGGGCGTGATGGGGGGTGTGACCTGGGAATCGCCCGGGATCCAGGCGATTCCCAGGACCTCCCCCAATTCCCGGGACCCCCCAGAATTCCCGGGATCCCCCCTCCCCGCACTCACATCTTGGCCTCCCTCTCGCTCCTGCAGGCCACGTAGCGCTGCACCTGGGCCTGGTTGACGCCGTACATGGAGAGCCAGAGCACGGTCCCGCCCAGCAAGAACGACCACAGCGTGTAGCGGCTCCGAGGGTCCGGGTTAAAGCTGGGCACGGCCCGGGGGGCACAGTCAGGGGGGGAGGGCACGGGGGAGACCCCTCAATAGGGGAGAAGGGGATGGGGGTGACCCCAGAACCCATAACGGGAGGTGAGAGGGGAAGGGAGTGACCCCAAAACCCAGGACAGGGAGTGAGGGGACAGGGGTGACCCCACAATAGGGGGGGAGGGGCTGGGAATGACCCCCAGGACAGGGGTGAGGGGAGATGGGAGTGACCCCAAAACCCCCCGGGCCAGGGGGTGAGAAGGGCGCACACCCCGAGGCTTTGGGGCACTCAGTGACCCCCCAGCACCCCGGGACAGGTAGAGAAGGGTCCGGTGGAATTTGGGGGCCCCGGGGCCGGTGGGGAGGGGTCCCGGGGGGCTGGGGTTGGGGTCTCACTCTGCGAAGTTGATCCTGGAGCCGTTGGCAGCGATGCTCAGCACCTTGGCGGGACCCCCCACCAGCAGCACCCCGCGGATGGCGACGGCGACAAAACCCGCGAGCATCACGAACACCTGGAACACGTCGGTCCAGATGACAGCCTTCATCCCGCCCTGTGCACAGCGAGCCCGGGATGAGCGCCGGGGACACCCGGGACAACCCCGGGACACCCCCGCGACACCCCCGCGACAACCCCGGGACAACCCCGGGACACCTTGGACCCACCCGGCCACTCCCGGGACCACCCAGGACATTCCGAGACACCCCGGGACACTCCCGGGACACCCCCGGGGTATCCCCGGAGCCCTCAGGACCACCGGGGACACCCCCAGGACACTCCTGGGACACCCTCGGATCCCCGCGGGACACCCCCGGGACATCCTAGAGCCACCCGGGACACCCCCGGGACATCCTAGAGCCACCCGGGACACCCCCGGGATACCCTCGAAGCCCTCGGGACACCCCCAGGACACCCCCGGCACTCCCAGGACGCTCCCCGGACACTCTCGGGACACCGCAGGACACTCGGGACACCCCCGGGACACCCTGGAGCTACCGGGGACACCCCTGGGACACCCCCGGGGACCCCCAGGACCCCCCCCGAGCCCCCCGGGACCCTCCCGCGCTCACTATGGTGGTGTAGAAGGTGCAGATGACCCCCGTGGAGAGCAGCGATGCCCAAATGTCCAGCCCGGTCACTGGAGGAGAGCGAAGGTGCTGAGAGGAGAAATTGTCACCTGGACAGGGGACAGGGACAGGGAGCAGCCCCCCAGTGCCACCACACCTTGGTTTAGGATCAGCGCGGGCGCGTAGATGACGATGCCGGTGTAGAGCATCTGCGGGAAGAGAGGGGTGACCATGGCAGGTGACACCGAGGACACCGGGCAGGTGACACCGCGGGGTCCCTGCGGGTGACACTGCAGGGTTCGGACAGGTGACACAAAGGAGTCCGGGCAGGTGACACCGCGAGGACAGCGCAGGTAACACCGAGGGCTCCGGGCAGGTGACACGGCAGGGTCCGGGCAGGTGACACGGCAGGGTCCGGGCAGGTGACACGGCAGAATCTGGGCAGGTGACACCGAGGGCTCCGGGCAGGTGACACCGCGGGGACAGCACAGGTGACACTGCAGGGTCTGGGCAGGTGACACGACAGGGTCCGGGCAGGTGATACCGCGGGGACAGCACAGGTGACATGGAGGGCTCCGGGCTGGTGACACCACGGGGTCTAGGCGGGTGGCACGGCAGAATCTGGGCAGGTGACACCGAGGGCTCCGGGCAGGTGACACGGCAGGGTCCGGGCAGGTGACACGGCGGGGACAGCGCAGGGCAAACAGCGCGGCTTTCAGAGCAAACAGCGCTCCCGCCGCGCTCCGCTCGCTCCGAGCCAAGGAAAACACGAGCACGGGATGAGGGATCCTGCCCGGAGCTCAGGGCAGCTCCGCTCCGAGTCCCCGCGGTGTCACCTCCCCGAGCCCCCCCATTGTCACCAAGCCCCGCAGTGTCACCACCCCGAGCCCCCGCGGTGTCGCCGCGCTGTCCCCAAGCTCGCCACACACGCACCGTGGCCACCACGTACTGCACGGTCCCGCACAGCCGCACGCTCCTGCTGAAGCGCCGCTCCAGGTACTGCGACAAGGACAAGGACAAGGAGCACGTCGGGGCCACCCCGGAGTGACCCCGAAACGGGGGGTAAGAGGGGCTGGGAGCGACCCCCAAAACCGCAAGGCAGGGGGTGAGAGGGGCTGGACCCCACAACACCCGGGGAGGGAGGAGCAGGGTCCTTCGAGGTTGGGGGGGGACACAGTGAACCCCCAAAAAACCCCAAGGCAAGGGGAGCGGGGTCCGTCAGGGACTGGAGGGAGGACACAGAGACCCCCCAAAACCCCGGGGAAGAAGGAGCGGGGTCTCGAGGGGTTGGGGGGACACAGTGACCCCCCAAAACCCCGGGGAAGGAGGAACCACTGATCCCCAGAACCTCGGGGAAGGAGAAGCAGGATCCGCACCCCACAACATCCGGGCCGGGAACATCCGGGCCGGGAAGAGTGGGGGTCCCGCCAGGCTGGGGGGGACACAATGACCCCCCAAAACCCCGGGGAAGGAGGAGCGGGGTCTCGAGGGGTTGGGGGGACACAGTGACCCCCCCAAAACCCCGGGGAAGGAGGAACCACTGACCCCCAGCACCCCGCGGGGGAAGGAGAAGCAAGGTCCGCACCCCGCGGGGTTGGGGTCACCTCACTCCGCCAAGTTAACCCTGGAGTTGCCGGGCTCCGCTGCTCTCTCAGCACCTTGACGGGACCCCCCACCATCCGTGTCCCCTCCGTGCCCACCTCGTAGGTGCTGGTGAGCCCCAGGCGGTAGAAGACGGGCAGGAAAAGCTGCGCCGTGAGCGCGCTGTTGATGAGCTGAGCCAGGCACATCCACAGGAATTTGGCTCCGTAGCGGAAAGCCTCGGCCGGCACCCCCAGCACCTGGATCGCCGACATGAAACTGGCCGATAGCGACAACCCCACGGGCAACGCCGACATCCTCCGGCCACCCGTGAAAAAATCCTCCGAGGTTTTCTGGCCGCCTTTGGCCAGCCCGTGGAAGAGCCCGATGGCCGTGGAGATGAGCAGCATCAGCGCGAACACTCCGTAATCCCACGGGCTGAAGGTGAGGTCCCGCACGTCGCGGGGTCCCTGCGGTGCTGCCATGGTGGTTTCAGGGGTGAGGAGAACCCCAAATCGGGCACCTGAGGTTGGTGAGGGGGTCAGTCCCGGCTTGGGGGCAGCGGCGCATTCGAGGGGAAAGATTTGGGATGGGGGAGGGAACACAAAATTCCCTGGAATGGACGCGCCGGGTGGAGAGCAGGAGGGGCAGCTTTTTTGTGCCCCACCCCGTGCCCTCTGTGCCCTTCCCAGGCACGGGCTGTGCCAAGGGGTGCGAAAGGGCAGAGTCCGCCCGGGAACAGCCAGAATTTGGCAGGGGGATGGAGCTTGATCCTTCCCCTGTTCCCACCACCGGCTCCAGGGAAGTGTCAGCACCCAAAGGGTGGGAGGGGAGGGGAGGGGAGGGGAGGAGAGGGGAGGGGAGAGGGAGCGACCCCTCCCCAAAGCAGCACAAACAAGGAGGCGCAGCCAAATTTATCTCCCAGCAGAGGGGAAAATCAACAAAGCCCAAAGAAACCTTTACCCCAGGAGGAGCCGGCGGAGCGGGACGGACCGGCTGGACCGAGCCCGGAGGAGCCCGGGGGGTCCCTGGGAGGGGTCCCCGGGAGGTGCCGAGGGCTCGGGAGTGCCTCGGGCAGGTGGGAGGAAGGGTCAGGGATGGAGCCTCGGAGGGGAGGATGGAGCTGGGGGGGGGAGGTCTCGGCCATAGCCCCTTCCCTCCCGCACGGCTCCGGGAGGTGGCGGGGAAGGACAGGAGGGGACAGGAGGGGACAGCACGGTGGCTCCTGGAGGGATACGTGGCACCGGGCGTGGGGTTGGCCCCGTTTCCTCATTCCCCAGTGACACAAATGCCACTTTGTCCCGCCCGAACTCCGGACAGGTTTGGGGATTTCCGCCCTCTTGTCCCCAAAATCGCGAGGGTCAGGTTGGGGTTGGGGCAGGGGAAGCGCCCTGAGGTGGGAACAGAGCTGCTGTGCGGGTGGTGTGGCCTCTGATGTGTCGCTGTCCCCTCCGAGGTGTCACCGAGGGGGAAGAGTCACCTCTAAGGTGTCACCACGGGGGTACTGTCCCCTCCAAGGTGTCACTAAGGGGTAAGAGTCCCCTCCAGGCTGTCACCACGAGGACATCATCCCCTCCAAGGTGTCACCAAGGCAGAAAAGTCCCCTCCAGTGTGTCACGGCAAGGTCACTGTCCCCTCCGAGATGTCACCATGGAGGAATTGTCCCCTCCCAGGTGTCACCACGGAGCATTGTCCCCTCCCAGCTGTCACCCTGAAGGCCCCATCCCCTCTGAGCCATCACCGCGAGGTCTCTGTCCCCTCCAGGGTGTCACCACAGGGCCACCGTGGGGTGTCCCTGCTCCCTGCCTCCTACCCTGGTGGTGGCATTGTCCCCACCACCTGTCCCCAACGGGGGAGGCGACAGAACAGGACAGGACCCCCTCCCCTCCCCGCCGCGGCTCCTCCTCCTCGCCCCGCGGGGTTGGAGCAGCTCCAGGGAAAACAAAACAAAACAAAAAAAAACAACAAAAAAAACCCAGCCGAGTTTGGGCCACATCCGCCGGCGTGCGACACCGCACGGCCCCGGGGGTGGCACACAGCCAGCCCCGCGGTGGCACCCGGGGCACGACTGGGGACAGGAGAGGGTGGCAGCAATGGGGGGCAGGGGGGGACTGGCAGAGAATTCCCCGTCCCTGTGACACCCCCAGGGCGCCCAGAGGGGAACCCGGAGTTCCAAAGGGGCACCTGAGGGTGCCCAAAGGGTACCAGGGGTGTCCAAAGGGGCACCGGGGTTGCCCAAAGTGGTCCCGGGGTTGCCCAAAGGGAACCCGGGGGTGTCCAAGGGGTACCCGGGGGCCTCCCAGGTTTTCACCCTTCACCCTCCCAGCACCCCCTGAGGTGGCTGCACCCTGGGGTGTCGCGTTTTGTCCCCCCCTCCCCTGCCAGGAAGCCGCACGCCCAGGAGCCCTCGAGCAGGAAGGAAGTCGCCCTGGGGATTTTTTATCTCTCTCCTTCGCTCAGAGCCGCCTACGCACCCCCAGAACCCCGATTTGGCAGCGCAGCCCGGCCGGGACCCCCTCCCCAGGCCCCCAGAGAGGCCCCGGCACGGCAAAGGTACCGGGGGGATCCGGGGGTGAGACCAGGCCGGACTGAGCTGAGATTGAGCTGGAATGGAACGGGGATGGAGCCGGGATGGAGCCGGAGATAGAGGCGGGGATGGAGCCGGGGATGGAGCCGGGGATGGAGGCGGGGATGGGGCAGGGATGGAGCCGGGGATTGAACTGGGATTGAGAAGAAATGGAGCCGGGGATGGAGCCGGGGTTGAGCTGACATGGGGCAGGGATGGAGCCGGGATGGAGAAGAAATGGAGCCGGGATGGAGAAGAAATGGACAAGGGGATGGACCCGAGGATTGACCTGGGATGGAGCTGGGGATGGAACTGTGATGGAGCTGGGGATGGAACTGTGATGGAGCTGGGGATGGAACTGTGATGGAGCTGGAATGAAGCCGGGGATAGAGCCGGGATGGAGCTGGGATGGAGCCGGGATGGAACCGGGGATGGAGCTGGAATAAAACCGGGGATGAAGCCGGGGATGAAGCCGGGATTGAGATGGGATGGAGCCGGGAAGGACAAGGGGATGGAGCCTAGGATTGACCTGGGATGGAGCTGGGGATGGAACCGGGAATGGAGCTGGAATAAAACCGGGGATGAAGCCGGGGATAGAGCCGGGATGGAGCAGGGAGTCACCCCCATCTCCCCTTTCCTTGCAGCGCCCGCCATGGCCCCGCTGGGCGAGGAGACCCCGCTGATCGGTGGCCGCTCCTGCAGCCTCTCGTCGTCCGAGAGCGGCACCCTCCAGGTGTTCCTGTACCACCGAGTCCCCTCCCCGCTCCGAGCGCCCCCCGGCAGCGCCGCGGGCTCGCTCAGCTTCCCCTGTGGCGAGTACACGGCCGAGGAGCTGTGCGTGAGCGCTGCCAAAGCCTGCGGTGAGAGAGGGGTGCGGGGTCCTGGCGGTGGGAATTGGAATTTGGGCTGTTCTGGGTGTGAGAATGGGGATTTGGGATGTGGGAATGGGAGGTTCTGGATGTTCTGGGTATGGGAATGGGGGATTCTGGGTGTGGGGTCCTGGGGGCTGGAATGGGGTTCTGGATGTTCTGGGGGTTGGAATGGGGATTTGGGATGTGGGAATGGAGGGTTCTGGGTGTGGGGTTAAGGGTGTGGGAATGGGGTTCTGGGGGATGTGGGAATGGGGTTTCTGGGGGTGGGTACAGGGAGTTCTGGGTGTGGGGTTCTGGCTGTGGGAATTGGTTCCTGGATACAGGAATGAGGTTCTGGATGTGGGTACAGGGTTCTTGATGTGAGAATGGGCCCCTGTGCTTGTCCTCAGTGGGGAATTTTGTCTGTGGGTCTGGATCCCGGTGGGTTTGGAGTTCTGGTTTGGGTTCAGGGTGCTGTGCTCACCCTCAGTCACCAATTCTGGTTGTGGGCTCTGCATTCCAGCTCTGGGTTTGGGGTTTCAGCTCGGGGTCCTGGTTCTGGGTTTGGGGTCATCTTTAATGGGGAATCTTGGCTTTAGGGTCTGGATTCCAGCTCTGGGTTTGGGGTTCTGGTTCTGGACTCAGAGTTCTGTGCTTGTCATCAAAGGAGGTCTTGGCTGTGGGCTCTGAATCCCGGCTGTGGATTTGGGATCCCGGCTGGGGAGTTGGGACCACCAACTAAAGGCTTGGGCTACCAGCTGTGGGGTTGGGATCCTGGAAATGAATTTGGGGTCCTGGCTGTGGGTTTGGGGTCCTGGCTGTGAGCTTTGGCTACCAACCAAAGGTTTGTGCTCCCAGCTGAGGGTCTGGGGTCCCATCGTGACCTCAGGATTCCGGTGTTGGGCTCAGGGTCCCGTGCACGTCCTTGTCAGGGGATCCTGGCCGTGGCTTTGGGGTCCCAGCCCTGTCCCTGGGCGGGGGTCCCAGCCCTGCTCTCGGTCCCCAGGGGTGCTGCCCGTGTGCCACCCACTCTTTGCCCTGGCCACGGAGGATCTGAGCTGCTGGTTCCCCCCCAACCACGTGTTCAGCGTGGATGAGTCCTGCAGCCAGCTCGTGGTGTACAGGATCAGGTACAGCCCCCGCCCGGCTCCTGCCGCCCCCCGACAGATTTTGGGGTCGGGGTCTCTGGGGGAGGCAGCGCTGAGACCCCTCCGCTGTCCCCCCCCCCCCATCAGGTTTTTCTTCCCCAACTGGTGCGGACTGGGACAGTCCCATCGCTTCCAGCTGCTCAACGACCGGGCCAGCCCCGTCCTGGATTACCCCGTCATTGATTACCTGTTCGCCCAGGTGAGCGCTGCCAGCCTGGCTCCTCCTCATTCTCCTCCTCCTCCTCTTCTTGGTCCAATTCTCAACTAAAAGACTCTTTAACAATTTAAAGTTACAAAGTGTGTTTATTCAGCGCTGGGCAGCAGCGTGGGGTAACCCTCACTGCCAAATTACAGGTGCTCACAGAATCTGTTTATGGACAAAAGTTTTAAATAATTACATATTCATAACACCAGCCCCTCCCGTTCCCCTCGCCTCCTGTGGTAATTAGCTTGACTGGCTATTAAGCACGCGTGGTTGGCTTCTTAAATTAAGTCTGGGGTCGTTTTTGTGGGGAGGGGTCTTAAAAAGAGGAAGTAAGGCGAGTCTTCTTCGCCCTGAGCTCTTCTATCGATGACAATACAAATGGCTTCTGGGAAAACTCCAATTTCCCGAAGAATTAGTTTATGGTTGCAATTGTTCGCGTTTCTTTGGATCTGTTTATGAGTTTCATCTTTTCCCATTGTTCCTCCTCCTTCTCCTCCTCATCCTCTCCAACTCCTGGCGGTGTTTTTGGGGGGCTCTGAACCTTCTCATCTTCCTCCTCCTCATCCTCCCCAGCCCCCGGAGTTCTCCCAAAGCTCACCAGGGGATACCAGAGGGTCTTTTTGGGGTGCTCTGACCTCTCTCCTCCTCATCCTCCTCCTTCTCCTTCTCTCCAACTCCCTGCGCCTCGTGCCCGAGGTGTTTTTGGGGGGCTCTG